AATATGCTGGTGCTCCATCACTCCATAAGGCAGGCATTATCCACACCCCTGCTCTCAAACCAATAACGGATAGAGATATGGCAGCAAGGCCATGGTCCACCTTGGATTCTGTGAGCACTTCCTACATGCCAGGCCCTGTGTAAATACTATGCAGGCGACTTGTCTTCCCAACAATCCTATGAGGTACACACTAGCATTACTCCCATTTTACAGATGTGGAAACTGAGGCCCAGAGAGGTTATATAATTTGCCATAGTCATATCACTAATAAGTGCCAGAGTTGAGAAATAAACTCAAGTCATTTGACTCCAAATGTCTGTATTATTGGGAAATCCACTTAAAGTGCATTGTTCAATTATCTAAGTTAGAGAAATGAGAGATTTTTAAAAATCTGTTTTCTAATAAAAAAATGAAAATACAGAAACCTATTGTAGGGAAAGAGGCTCAGCTGTGCTGTCGGATGCTCACTCAGCTGAAAGATGCTCAGCGGCCTCAGACCCTACATATCCTGTCCTGGTCAAGGTGAGGAGGTGAGCAAACTGACTCTCAACACGGCCTCTGGACCAGGTTTGTTGGCCTTGACCAGGACCCTCCTTTGGTGGGCCCTGCGAATCCCCCAGTCAGGGTTCTGCCTCCTTACAGACTTCCTGGGAGAAAAAGACTTGCTTTCCAGGGGGATAATGTTAGGTTTGGAATCCCATCTCTGTTCCTTGCAGATGCATGTTCAGATTACTTCACTGCTCCAGCTCTGGTTTCTTCATCTGTTAAACAGGGCCAATAGCTACTTCACAGAACTATGTAGATTAAATTAAATGTGTGATGAGATAGCACGTGTGAAAGCCTTATAACATTAGCAACTAAGTATACAACTACATTTATTTTCACTGGGGTGTGAATGCCCATTAGGATTTACCCTCCAAGGATATCTGCAAACAAATGATGCTCAAATTAGTGGGATGTGTATGTGGCATCAGAAGTTAAGGAGTCCTGAGACTTCCTCCAGCTGGCTGGAAGGACTGGAGCCACACCTGCAACCCTTCTGCAAGGCGTGTCCTGCCATAGTGTCCCAGCTGGCTTTCCTTGAGCTCTCACTTAAGAGTTTTGCCTTAAGCAGCCCTGGGCAGCAATGAAAGGGTGTTTCCTGGGACAAAAGGGATGCTGAACAGGCACAGGAGATGGGCCGGTGTGCAGATGGGTGTACCTCTGAGACCACCAGGCCTCTACTCAGCTCTGTCCTCAGTGGGGAATGGAGAACTGGAGAAGGTGCCATCTTCACAGGGGCAGTCTCAGGGTCCAAACTGGTGAAAACCATTGAAGGTCAAATACAGGTCAAAAGAAAGCAGCACATCAGAACCCTTAGCACTGTCCACCACAGTAGGGCCCACCAACCTGAAAACAATTGTTAGACATGCAAATCCTTTACCAAACAAGATATGGGACAATAAATAAATAGACATAGACACCAATTATCCTTTCACTGTTCAGCCAAAGGCCTCCTCTGTGCACACTCTATGCTGGGCACACCTCTGGGTGCACGATGATAAAAATAAATTTCTGTTGCACATTTGAATTTTTGAGGTGCTAACACATGCATGATCCAACTAAATTCTTGACACAAACCTGTGCAGAACATAGTCTAAGAGCCCATTTAGAGATCAGGAAACAGGCTCAGGGAAGAAGAGTGCCCTGGGTCATAGTAATTAAATGACAGAGCCTGTGCTGAAGCCGACTGGTTCACTCATTCATTCACAAAATGGTTCAAATTTTTCAGAATTAATTTTGATCCAGTTTGGAATAGATGTGCCACCTTTTAGAAAGACTGGCATTTAGAAAGTTCTGTGTGAATACTGAATACTACACTTCCCACCAGGATGGGGTTTATAATAGAGACAAATTCTCCAGAACCGATTTTCAAGGAGAAAAGAAGAAATGCACTGCAAGCAAGAAAACTGGGTGTCTGGGAAGGTTTCCAGCCAGGAGATTTCCAGCAGGACTTGAAAAGACTTGGTCCATCCTGCATTAGAACAGATAGTGGGAGTAGGGAGGAGGTGGCCTTTACTCATCCCTCCCTGTGCTAGTTACCTCAGAGGACATGGGAGGGGAAGAGAAGGAGCCTTCCCAGAAGAGAATAACAAGGTGGATTCTTTATTTTAAAAGAGACAACAATATAGCGTATTTTCTTGTTGTTCTCTTTTTCCTCCCCAAACTCAGAAACCATGGCCATCCTGGCAAACAGCTTAGAGTTAGACTACATCTGACGCATGTGTATCCTGGGGCCTCCTGACTCCCAGGGAGATAGTCTGGTCTTCTGGAACAAGTTCCCTTTAGCCCTTTAGCCTTCTCCATTGATAGCATCGAGGTGGTGATTCTCAAATTTTAGAGGGGAAGGGAAAGGGTGAGACTGACAGTTTTGGGAGGAGCATGTGGTATGACTGTCCTCTCAAGATGCGACAGAAAACACCTTTGGGTGCCTGAACATGAACCAGCATGGTTTGTTCATTCATCTGACAAAAGTCTACTGAGTGCCAGAGACCACTCCAAGCTCTGGGCTCACAACAGTGAATGAAACAAAGCTCCCGCTCTCAGGGAGCTTACATACTGGCCGGGGAAAGAGACGATACACAAACAAGATAAAGGTAATGAGAGATGGGGCTGCTTTTTAAGCCAGAAGGCAGAGATGGCCTCTTTGAGAATGTTGTCACATTGTCATTTTAAGCAAACCCCCAAACGAAGCGAGGGAGAGAACTGCATGGTTATCTGGAGGCAGTGTTCCGGGCAGACGGGACAAGCAAGGGCAAAGGCCCTGGGGTGGGAAAGTGCTTTGTGCATCTGAGCTCCGCTTGGGAAGGCAGGTAGGGGTGAGGTCAAAGAGGTAGCAGCCCAGCAGCAGGACAGATCCTATGGGCCCTGGAAGCCATGCTGAGAGGACCCTGAGTACTTATTGTGCAACACCTATGTGCCAGGGATGTCCTAGGGCCTGAGAGGAGAGAAAACCATGTCATGATCCCTGCCTTCACTGGGGCAGCTTATGATCTATCAAAGGATGACAAAGGAGGAGGTGAGTCCAGGACACTGTGGTAAGTGCTGAAAGGCATTTGGAGGGGCTGAGGGCTCAAGAAAGGGCTTCCAGAGGAGATGACACCAAAGCTGGAAGGAACAGTTGTGAAATAAGCCAGAAGTCAGCTGTGTTCTGGAGCCACTTTTGCCCATTTCCCATCTCAGTCAAATCCTTGGAGCTTTCTGAACTTCAACTTCCTTGTGTAAGAAATGGAAACAACAATACCTGTTCTCTAAACAGAAAACCAGGTCAAAGGTGTGAAGGTCTTTTCAAGACTGTAATGTTCTAGAGAGATGTAAAATACTCCTACTATCGCACCACAGTGCTTTCTCTTCCTACAGACCTGTGACTGTGTGTGAGTGCACACAGCTAAGCGCACAGGCTCCTAGCACCTCTCCTTGCACCCACCAAAGCTGGTCAGTTTGTAAAGCCAGGCTTCTTGGCCCAAGGCCTGGTTGCATTCTGCAGCTTTCACGTGTCTTGTGGCTCTTGGTGGGGCTGCTGGAGACACCATCCCTGTGGCATTTTCTCCACTGGTTAACTGGAATTCCTCAGACACGTGTGCAGACTCCTGTTGGCTTCTGGGCTCCTCATCCTCTCTGACCAGAACCAGAGATGGGATCCTGCCCCTGCTTTCCAGGCCTCAGAGAAGAGGCGGCCACTAGGCTGCAGGTGCTTGGTCATCCTGCATTGCTGTTTGAATGCATTCAGGTGGGGGATGCTGTTCCCACATAGGCCAGGTTTGGCTCTGTCCAGGGCAACATTTCTCCATAGTGACAGGCGCTCAGCCAGGGAAAGAGAAGCGTCTGCCCCCTCTATTAAGAAGGTACTTTGGGCTGGGTGCAGTGGCTCATGAGGTCAGGAGATCGAGACCATTCTGGCTAACATGGTGAAACCCCGTCTCTACTAAAAATACAAAAAATTAGCTGGGCGCGATGGCAGGCACCTGTAGTCCCAGCTACTCGGGAGGCTGAGGCAGGAGAATGGCATGAACCCGGGAGCGAGCCAAGATCGCACCACTGCACTCCAGCCTGGGCAACAGACCGAGACTCCGTCTAAAAAAAAAAAAAAAAGAAAGTACTTTGGGGGACTAAATTTCCATCAGCAGATTGGCAAGGTCATGGTTTAAAACCAACAATGAAAGCCAGATTGCAGCATGATCCACCTGCCCTCTCTGGGGTTAAAAAGTTCTTTTTATCTAGGACCCTTCAGAAAGAAGAGTCTATTTTCACCAACCCCAAGGCTTTAATGTATTTCATCTTCCAGTGTATTTTCTCCAATCAGAGCTGTCCTACAGTAATCTTACCCTCTTCAGCTGAAAAAATCCCCTTTCAACTTATGGGAAAACACTGGCTGGGTTCAAGTGTTGGTTCTGCTCTGTGACCTTGAGCACCCCTTTGGCCTCAACAATGATCTGCAAAATGGGAGGATTAAGAACAGGTGAATCTTAAGGTTCCTTCCAGCTCCAGCCTTCTAGGATCCCATGATCCTTTGTCTCTAATGGGAGCACCCTGCCAACTGTCTTGGCTAGGGAGTCACCACATCCCTGGATGTTGACCTTGACTTCTGCCTTTTAAAGTAATAAATGAAGCCTATAAATGCTAAATAAAATATGTGGTATTCTCCTACTTTGACAACTATATCCTCATATCTGGAAGACCAAATTCAAATTTAGAATTTTCAGACCCCCCAGGACTCTGTGTCGCACTATGGTCTCTTTCTGCTGTTTTCCCCCTTAGTTTAAGGAGACACACGATCTCCCTGAGTAGAATTCTTGTTGAATTCCAGTAGAATTCAAGAATCCTACTGAGCAATCCCTGAGTAGGATACTTGTCTATTTTGCATTTTGTATCTTGTGGGACATGTAGTTTGCTGTTGCTGTAGATACAACAGCAGACTAACGGACCTCCACATAGCACATTTTTTCTCTCTCCATTTTTTCTTTTCTTTTTTTTTTTTTGTAAGGGGATGAATATCAGTTGTGAGGCACATTTTTCTTTCTTCATTTAGACAATCAGCTGTTAGTCTTAGCACCCCATATCACATTTCCTCGTCAGCAGAAGCCGCTATTTCTCCTATCCATTAATTTCCATGTGAAAAGTGCAGCTTCTAGGGTCCCCATTTCACTACAGTTTTAATGGCGCTTATTTTTCTATGGATATGCACTTTGTTAGCATAGGTTTCCGTCAAGAAGGCAGTTAGTTGTTTTATTCAAGGCAGGAGTGGCAGACCTATGGGTATTATAGGTACGTGGAAGGCACTGGAGGTCTCACTGGTCAAAAGAATGCCCTTTAAATGTATAAAGGGTTATGGTATATTTTAAACCTTTTTCCTAGATGAATTGGGACCTAGGGGCTGGACACAGCAGGGCTTCTGGATATCTGGGAAGAGCACAGAGGTTGAGTCAAGTGGGGTCTAAAAGACAGTCAGGAGCACAGCTGGAACGGAAAGCCAAGCAGACAGTCCCACAGAACTGCTCACCTTAAAAATCCGGGCAAGGGTGAGCAAACCCGACATGAGGCAACTGGGAGGGGCAGGGGTGCTGGGCCCAGAGTCAGGTTCAGACTGGAGAGGGAAGGAGGCAGAACTGAGGTGGTCCTCTGAAGCAAACCTCATGGACTCTGTAAGAGAACCGCAGCTCCATTCCTGGAGACAAAGGTAGAAAGAAAAGGTGGAATGAAGGAGCAGGCATAACTAGGACCGCTGGGAGAAAGTCACACGGAAGCAGATTCCGCCTTCACTAAGAACCTGCTCACAGACACGAGCTTGGATGGTGTGGGTTGCCGCCTTAGATGACAGGCTCTTTGCAGGATACAGATAACCAGGAGTTAGGAACTTGTCGAGCTTTCAGCATGGAGGGCGCAGTGGCACTCTATGATTGCTAAAATCTCTTTGAGCTCTAAGGGTCTGAAATTCCATGAGATTTTTAAAAAGTCTGTACCAAGATACCTATCTAATGTATAGTTTCAGTTAATCACATAGCAAATAAAAGAACCAATAATTTCACACACTAATAGGTTTTGTCTTCACAAGATAAAACATATAGCTTTGTTGCTAGAAATCACCTTACGTGTAATTTAATCCAGCACTTGACAAACTATGGCCTACTGCTTGTTTTTATATTAATAAATGAAGTTTTATTTAAACACAGCCATGCTCATTCATTTACATATTCTCTTTGACTGTTCTGGGGCTATCATGGCAGAGTTGAGTGGCTGCAAAAAAGACCTTACAGCTCACTAAGCCTAAGATACTTATTCTCTGGCCCTTCAGAGACAATGTTTGTGACCCTTTGATGTAATCTAACCCCTCATTATACAGATAAGAAAACTGAGGCCTTCAAAGTTAAGGGCTTACTTCGAGGCAGCTAGGTGGTGACTGAGTTGTGGCAAGAACCATGACACTTGACAGCTAGGCCTTTGTTTCTCCACTTCCGCTCCCAGTGTCCCATCCTCGGCTCCTCTGCTGTTGTGCACCTCTTCACACCAGTCCATTTTGTGATTCTGCAGACACCAGGCCCAAGAGGCAGAGGTGAACTGACTGGCCCAGGGTCACTCTGCCTGTCTGCCGGCCACAGGACAGGCCTCACACTTTCGAGTTCTGATCCTACAGAACCGGCTTCAAATGGTACTCTAAGTAGGCGTAGAAGAGAGAGAGAGGAGTGGAAAGCAGAGCTTCTAAGAGCTTTGAAGACAAGAACTCATTTGGCTCCCCAAGTCCCTCTCAGCATTAGCATTCACCTTCTGCTTTCCAACAAAAGGACACATTTACAACTGTCTCGAGTTCAACTTGAAAACCCTTTTCATAGGTTTCCAGGGAAATTACTCCAAGCAGCCCTGTTGGGCTAAAATGATTTCAACACACCCAGCCGTCTTCAATTTCTTCAGTGGCATCTGCTACAAACAGCAAAACATATGAGTACCTGATATTTACCTTCCTTTGACATGAGAGATTCCAAAGGAGACAACGCACAGGGTAAAAAACAAGCCCTATCTACCCACAATCACATTTAAAGAACAAACAGCCAATCTGAGGCCCAGATCGGGCCTCTGTTCTCTGTGTGGGAGATTTCCCAGAGCGACAAGAATCAATCAGCCCATTAGCATGCTCTACATTTGTCCAGGAGAGCATCGGCTGAAAGCCGACCCCGCTTTAACCCTTCTTCCAGCTGCCTCCCTAAGAGAGCCGATTTCCTCCTCTTTGCCATTTACAAGCCTTTACAGTTTCTGCATTTCCACTTCTATTACGCATCTCTCTTGGACAGACAGGAATGAATATTCATCCAAGAGATTAAAGCGCATCAGCAGTTCTAACATAAGTGGTCAAAAGAATAAAGGACGCGTGTCGTAAGTGGCCACACGAGACTCCCTGAAGCCTTGCCAAGGCAATACGCTGAACATATGCATGGTTCCCCAGGCCCACAGAGCTTCTGCCCAGCTCAGATGTAAGCCTGAATTTCAAGGGTGACATTTCCAGCCAAAAGAGGGAAGCTAAGCATGAGAGATGCGTCAAGAGAGGCAGCTCTGTCTGGGGCTCAGTCTGTGGATCTACTGTTTCTTGTGCCTCTAAATTCAGCCCACTCCCTCCCATAAAGTCAGCTCCTCACAGCTTAAAGGTGAAAACCAATAAGGATTGTGAGAGGCACCGGGTGGGCTGCCGAGAATCAAAGATAAATCAAGTCCTTGTCTTTACATTTATTGAGAATCTCTCTGTGCCAGGTGCTGTGCCGGGGGCTTTACATATGACATTTCTTTAAATCCTCACACAGCCGAAAGGTCAGCATTATTTTCCTCATTTTATACACATAGAACCCACAACTCAAGAGAAGTTAAGTAACTGGTCCAAAGACACACAGCAAGTTGGTGGTGGAGCCAGGCATTCAAACTCACAAGTGTGCCTGTGTGCTTTCCATCACACTGCACCATATCCGATGCCTGGAGGCTTTCTTTCATCACAGTTGCGGGCTGACTGTGCCACGCCCCCTTAGCAAGGTGCCCAGCAATTGTGGGAACACGGGTCGAGGCTCAGGTGCATTCAGTGTGCTGTATATCATGTTGAAACGAGAGCACATTGAGCTGAAGATCATTTGGAGAGCGGAGGCAGAAGAGTGAAATGAGAGAACAAATCCAACTTGTGTGGAAATATAACTGTTTGTGTTAATGTGAATTATTTGGATTGATTGTGGCTGGTGAGAACTCCAGACGTACAGACAACAGTGCTCGTTTGGATAACAGGGGTCCTGAAGATGGGCTCCTGTGGACCACTTCAAGGGAGGTTTAATATAGCAAAAACACAAGCTTCCAGCAGAATCTGAAGTGAGGTGGGTGGATGAAAACAGAAGGAGCTAAGAGCTGTCCCTAAGAGCAGCAGCAGGTGGTGAGCAGAGGACATCCATGGTGAACTCATAGTTAACCGGGGCAAGGGATGAATGCACTAGGCAGCAGACTCCAGAACCCTTGCCATATCTGCAAACACCATTTGTCTTGTTCTTTGCAGCTAAGTTTCCAACACTTTCCCCTTCATCCACTTGGCCAAAGTGAGTAGATGGAGAAGTGTGAACATAAGTCAATACAGTAATACTATCACTTCTAGATGCTGTCACTAGAGCTTCAACTCAGAGCGACCTTTCTTGATCTCATTCTTTACCAGCAAGATTATTATCACCAGGTATACTCTTAAAATCTGCAGAGCCTCAGGCAAATTTTTTAAAAAGCCCACCTATCATATGACTAAATATTTAAAAGTTACAAACCAAATCTACAAATGGTAGATAAAAGACATGTTGCACTACGGGGCAAAGGATGGCACACACATCGGTGTCGACACCATCAAGGTCCACAAGGGTCCACATGCATATGGTCCTGGGGACTTCAGCATCCCACCATGGTTGTGTAGCTGTGGTGGGATACTGAAGTCCTCAGGACCCGGTTCTGTCCACACCCTCACCTCAGTCACTCTTGGACACCTGAGGGTTCACAGGGTAGTGGGGCCCACCCTTAGGAAGCAGACCCAGGGAAAGTGTCCACACAGGTTCTGGGAGCTCTAGACTGTCTAAGCAGGGAATTCCAGGGTCCTGGCTACCACTGAAGAATGGTCTAGAAGGAGGGGTATGGGCCTGTGTTCTTGGCCCTTCAGAGCTCCATACCCTGTGGAAAGGGACATAAGAGAGGGCCAGAGCAGGGCCCTCTAAAGCATGGGTCCCAGGGCAAGGGGCTCCAAGTGGTAATGACCTTTGATAGCACTATGTACTAATAATGCTTCTAATAATTAGCACCATGTGCCAAGGTTTAGTTGTCCCAAGCATTTTACACGTGCTAACCTGTTTAATCCTCCTAACAACTCTATGAGGTAGGTACTATTACTACTATCATTCTACAGATGAGGAACCTGAGACACAGAGCAGATAAGCAACTTGCCCAAGGTCATAAGTGATAGAGCCAGGTCATCTGGCTGCAGGTCCTCACTCCTACTGACTACACCATGCCCCCTCTAAACACAGCAGGGCGGGCCCACCTTTGAGGCACATACTGGCTTATAGGGCAGCCTCCCAGAGCTCAGCCCTGAAGGCAACTCCCAACCAGCCACTATGGAGCACCTACTGTGTACTCATGGCCTATATTCATGAACATCTGGGACAACTCTTTGTCACATCTCCACACTTCTGACTGCTTTGCAGAATCACAGATTAATTCCCAGATCCGTCCAGTAGGTTTGCTGAAGCACCATTTTGGAAAGTTGAAAGTGAGTCAGGAGATGGCTTTTTTTCCTTGCCTCAGCCAGGATAAGGAATGAAATCGTCACCTATGGGAGGGGGTAAGCATAGTCTGCGGGCATTGGTGGTTTGATGCCACAGCTGATAATCAGGAGAAGGCTGCTCTGCCCAGGGCACAGATCTGCCTGAAAGCAGGAGAGATGGAAAACACCCCAGATGAGTGGGGTTTCTAGCAGCCAGTGATGATAGCTGCCCTTGAGTTGGGAGAAAGTACAAGCCAAAGAAAAGAGATCTCAGTTCTCTTGAAAGCTTAAGCCACCTCTATCTAAATCAGGTAACAAATGCCAAGGAAAACACCATCAGCTTGATATTAACAGGTCATAAAGCATATTATTAACATACTATATAAGCAACTCGTATCTCAGATATAATAGGTCTCAGAATAAGATTTACTACAACCCACTCACAAATGCTTAAAGAAATCTTTCCAAATGTGGAAAGGCATTGTGTGAATCACCCGGAAACTGGGTTCAAATCCGCATTCTCTCTCTTAGCAGCTGTGTGGCGTTGTATATGTTATTTGATTTCTCTGAACCTTGGCTTCTTAGCTGCAAAATGGGGATGGAAAATATCTAACAGGATTACTACGAGAATTCAATGAAATAACATGTAAATGCTCTGGTATACAAAATCTGCTTTAAATATGCTACTTTTCCCCCTTCTTTGGTCATTTCCAGCTTCTCCTTCCCTCTCCTGGAAGCCTCTGTTCTCAGGTTCTCTTAGGATCCCATGGAATGGGTTATTCACAGCTATCTGAGGCCCTCTTTTACCATGGGGAAATGTGGTCAGGCTGAGGAGCTCCAGGACGAAATATAAACACAGCAGAGGGCAGAGCCTGTTTTTGATCAGGGGCCACTCTAGAAAGGCAGGAAACTAGGATAAATACATTTAAAGGAAATTTCGCAGTGGCAGGGACAGCAGAGCAGCATGGGGTAGATACCGACATGGAAGGTAAACTGTGATATGGCAGAAAGGCTTTGGTTGCAAGCGAGAACAGACGTCTCTGGCTGCCTCTGGCAGCTGCCTCCTTCTTGGGCCTTGACCTTTCAAAGCCAGGCCAGGCATCTCCCTACCTGTACCACCTGTAGCTGGTTCAGGGGCCCCAGGCTGGGCTTCCTAGGTGAAAACACAGCTTGACTCATCTCTGGCTCTGTCGGCTCTTGGCCACCTGGCCGCTCCCATAACTGATTCTCAGGTCAATCCGTCTTCTCCATTCCTACTTCAATGACCCAGGTCAGGCCCTTGCCACTTCCTCTCCTGGACAACGATGGCAGCCTTCACTGGTGTTCCTCCTCTCCAGCTCCTCTAATTTATCCTCCACAGTGCTGTCAGAGTGACATCTCTAAAAACCACAACGACCCCCAATTTAATATTCATTACAAAGGCTTCTGAGGAGCAAACCCAAGCTCTTTAGTCTATTAGTCAGGGACTTTTTCATTTGCAAATATCAGAAACCAACTTGAAGAAGCTCATATTAAGAACGAACGAAATGATTTATTGGTAGGATACTGGGAAAGTTCCTAGCAGAAAAGAACCATAAGAACTGGGCAGTTCCTGGGATCCCAGGGGTCAGGGCAGGGGCCTTCACCATGGGGTGAGGAAGAGGTGTTTAGGGGCCCACAATCACACTCCTCCAACAACACGCCATGAGGGGCAAGCTAGATTCTTCCACCCCAGCTCCAGCAGAAATCCTGGTCAAACACTGCGACTGGCCAGCTTGGGCTGCATGCCCATTGCTTGATAATTTGTGTGGACAGAATGGGGAATGTGATTGATACCTGGGTCCTAGGCCTGGGCCTAGTCCAAGGTGGGAAGAGGAGAAGTGGGATCTGGGCTGCAGAAGCCAGGAGAAGGTGCTGAACTGATGAGGACAAAAGCCCCCCATAAGCTCACCCTGCTTTGGCCTCCTCACTCACTATGCCCCACTCCGAGGCTGCCACCAACGCAACACCAATCTCCTTGCAGTTTCCAGCACACACCAGTATGATTTATGCCTCTATGTCTGGCTCATGGGTTTCAACACCCTTTTCCTGGAACATCCTTTGCACCTTCTTTGGTTGAGTAATGCACAGTCATCCTTCCAGATTCAATTCACAGTTGCGTCTCCCCAGAATCCTTCCCAGAGCTCTTAGACTAGGTTGCTTCTTTCTGGGCTCTCAGCACACCTGTGTGTCTTCATTGTAGTTACTACAGAGTAACACTAAACAATGATGATAATAACAAAAACAAACACACGCAGCACTTACTATATGCCAGGCACTGTTCTAGGCATTTGGTATATTTTAATTCACTTGCTCCTGTAACAACCCTATGAGGTGGGTACTACTACTAGCAAGTAGAGCTTGCTTTATTGAAGCAAGGAAACTGAGGCACAGATAATTTATGTCACTTGCCTGAGATCACAGAGTTATACGTAGCAGAGCCAAGTTCAAACCCAGGAAGTATAACTCTGAGTTCTGCTTTAGAAATAATTTAACAGGCTTCAGTCTACCCGGTTAGGCTGTGAGCCCTCCAGGGCAGATACTGTGACAGCCATCCTTGCAGTATTGGCTGAGTCCCTCATGAAATACGGTCTGAGAGAACTGAACAGAACCTCCTCTGTTGGGCAGCAGGAGGAGGAAGAGAGAAGTAGAAAAGGCCACTTGGGCCCTTGGGAGCAGGATCATAGAGGGCTGTGGAAGGAATGGAGTCACTGGAGTCCGGTCCCAGGTTGGCTGCGTCCTTGCAGACCTGGTGTGGGAGAAGGGACACAGATGCCCAGCAAGCTGGTCAGTACCCTACACCCACCAGGTCACCTCTGAGAAATGTCTCTTCCCAACTCAGCTACACTTTCTCTCTCCAACTTGTTTCCTATTCTTTAAGCAAATCTGGCTTCTTCTATGGTCAACCGAGATTTGCCAGCATTGAGCTCTCACAATTGCAGTACTTTTCCATGTGTAACTTGATAAGGCCTATGTTGGGGTATGCATGTTGTGGAGTGATTTTCACTCAGAGCTGATTTTCACCCATTAACTAAATTGAGCTAATCCCTTAGTTTAGCTTCTTTTTCCTACGGTTGTGGGACCAAGGGCCAGGCGGGTCTCTGACTCACTGTCTTTCCTTAAATAAGCCATTGAATGCCCCCTGACAGTTTCTCCAGTTGCATATTGAGGCTGAGTCTAATAATCTGCCTCAATGGGCCTCGGAGCTCAGTATGAGGGCCTATTTGTCTCCACTGGGAAGGCTAGTAGCAGGAGGGAGGGACTGCAACCATTATGGCCAGTCATTAAACATGGTCCATCTTCCTTGCCAGTGGGACCTGAAACCTAACTATAACCCGACAGCAAATTTATCAAGGTCAAAATCAGATATGATGAGAGAAGCCTTACATTGAGTCCTTCCTATGGGTCAGGCATTGAGCTAAACTATTAACAAATACAATTGTCCCTTTCTATCTGTGGTGGATTGGTTTTATGACCAATTCAAATACCAAATACCCAAATCTGCAGATGCACAAGTTCCATATATAAAATGGCACAGTATCTGCATATAACCTATGCACATCCTCCTGTATACTTTCAATCATCTCTAGCTTACCTATAATACTGAATACAATGTAAATGCTATATTAATAATTCCAACACCATATTGCTTTTTGAATTTCTGTTATTATTGTATCACTACTTTTAAATTTTTTTTGAGATGGCGTCTTGCTCTGTCATCAGGCTGGAGTGCAGTGGTGGGATTTCGGCTCACTGCAACCTCCACCTCCCGGGTTCACATGATTCTCCTGCCTCAGCCTCCCAAGTAGCTGGGACTACAGGCACGTGCCACCATGCCCAGCTAATTTTTGTATTTTTAGTAGAGACAGAGTTTCACCATGTTGGCCAGGATGGTCTCGATCTCTTGGCCTGGTGATCTGCCCGCCTCAGCCTCCCAAAGTGCTGGGATTACAGGCGCGAGCCACCGTGCCCGGCCTATTACTTTCAATTTTTTATTTTCTGAATATATTCAATCCATGGTTGGCTGACTTCTTGGATGCAGAACCCACGGATACAGAGGGCTGACTGTTCGATCTAATTTAATCTTCACAAGTCTGTGTTAATCCTTTGACAATTATGATTAAGTACCTGTAGATGCCAGGATCTATATTGGACATTTGGGAAACAGCAGTGAATAAAACAAACATTTCTGACTTGTATACCGACAAGCAATAAACAGAATAAACAAGTAGTAAACTACAAGGTAAACCATGTAGTAGGTTAGGGAGAAACAGTATGGATGAAATAGCAGAGCAGGTAAAAGAGACTGGGAATGCCAAGGGAATGGTCCAGGTAGGCCTCATTGAGAAGATGGTAACTGAGCAAAAATTTGATGGAGGTGAGGGAGTCAGCCATCTGGGGGAGAGACATTCTGGGCAAAGGTCTGAAAGTGGGAGCATGCTGGGGTGCTCAGGGAGTGGTAAAAGGGCATATGAGGCTGGGAAGGAGTGATGATGGAAGAGATGAGGAGAGAGAATGAGGGGCCACATCATATGCGGTGTAATATACACAATAATATGTGATAATTATTATATTATGTAGGCTACGATATTGAGTACCAATATTAGCCCCATTTTATAGATGAGGAAACTGAGGCAAAGGAATATTACATATCTTGTCCAAGGTGACATAACCAAGTATTGGAGCTGGGAATGCACCCAGGTGGTCTCAGCTCAGAGCTTATGTGTGCATCTTAATGCTAACACATGGAAACCAAGATGTTTCATGATACCTTCCCCTGTCAACCAACTTAGGCACAGTGACATTTGTGATCTGAAAGGAATCCAAGAGATTTCATCTGATTCTGTTGTGGTAGAAGGAATAAAAGATTTTGAGGCTGAAGCCTGGGTTTTTCTCTCTCTTACTGGGTGACATATAATGTAACCTTTCTGAATGTCAGTATCCTCACCTGAACAATGGAGAAAATCACTCCTGCTTTACAGGGTTGTGAAGATTGAAATGGATGCATGTCCAAGGGCTTTGAAAAGTGCTAGCAGCTCCTCTTTCATTTCCTACCATGTCCCCAGCTTTTGGCAGCTGCAATCACTGACAATTCATCTCCAAGTTCAATTCTGCCGTAGACAGAGACTGCATCTATATTGGCTGCCTCTACCCCAATCACCACCAGTCCAGGAGGGAGCTTGGAATTAAGTCTTTCCCCAGACTTTGGGCAGAAGGGTTTACCTACGATTGTGGAGGACCACCTCCCTTTTCGTCTCCACTACATGGAGAGTCCAACTTCCTTCCAGGCGACTCAGGATCTGGTGCTCGAGGAGTCTCTAACCT